GGGCAAGCGCGGGAGGTGTTAGAGCCCCAGCCTGCATAGGGCAGCCTGCCTCCACCCGGTGCACAAATCCAGGGGGCACGTGCCTCCCATGCCTGCCCCGGGGGTGTGTGCAGTGGCGGGGAGCCGTGCTCCCTGCTCCCCCCACACACACCCCTGGACAAGCTGCCACGGTTTTGTTCCATGACTTGCCTGGCCCCAGCCCCTGCCCCACTCCCTCCCTCACTGTGGGAGCCTTGATCTGTACCCCCCTTCCCTTTCCCCCTGTCCCTTCCCTCTCAGGCTTACTTGCTGCACACTGCCCTACACACTGCCAGGTTGCAGTCCTCTAGGGTTACCATATTTCCAGTTTCAAAAAAGAGGACACCTGTGGTGGGGGGGGAGGACGGGACGGGCAGGGGCAGTATGCCTGTGGCCTGCCCCTCACTCCCAAGCCACACCCCCCAACCCTGCTGCTGCCCCTCACTCCTGACTCACAGTACCCCACATCCTGCCAGGACATGTGGGGCTCTTCCCTCCCCCTGGGCTCCAACCCCCCCATACAAAGTACCTGCATAATTTTGAGTTTTTCTGCCCATAATTTTGAGTTTTTAGCTGTGTGATTAAAATGTGATTTATTGCGACTAATTTTCAAAATTGCGCAACTAATCATGATACATTTTTTTAAATTGCTTGACAGCCTTAATATTTTCTTTATCTTTTTGAATCACAGTAGCTTTGACCACTTGTTCTTCAACTTTTCAAAACAATCTTGAACTGTTGTTGCAGCCTTGATGTTCAGCTGAAAGAAATGATGGGGTCAGCATTGTTGTTAACTCGGTATTGCTTTACTGAAATACGTTTTGTGGGGGGTTAGCACTTTTCAAATGGGTGAAGATTGTCCTTGAGGTGGCAGGTACAGTTCTAGGGGCCACTAAATTATCTTTTATTTATTTTATCTTTTAAACAATCCTGTATAATTTAATAGACTGTGCTAGAATTATGTAGAATGCCTCCTTTGAGTAACTTCAGAGGAAGCCTGTTGGTGTCCTTATTCTTATTCTGTAGCCCTTTTCTAGGGCTTTCCCTGCAGAAGATCTGAAAGAAATTAAGTCTATGTGATGTTCATTATCTTAAAAATTCCTAGTGAAGCTGCTGTGGAGGCAGCTGCAGTGAAGGCAACAGTAGGAATGTCACTGCAGATAAGGTCCTGGTGCAGCAGATGCCTTACATTTCCATGATACCTAGTTCTGTTCTGAATCCGGTGCTAGTGTTTGTACTGCTGGTGTCCCCTGAAAAGGCAGATTGCTACAGTAGGATTGGAAGATGCAGTTATGTACACACAGCCCTAAGTGCTTGTGTCAGTAGTAGAAAAAAAGCAGTCCCATTAGAGTAAAAAGGGATTAGCTGCTGCCAGAAAATGAGGAGCAGGACCAGGTCCCTTGCAAGCAAGTGCACTGGGATATTTGAGCATTTCTAGTTCTATGTCTTGTACAAGGGTGGCTGGCAGCCGTGCTGGGCGGCGGGTCACAGGGAAACCCCCCCTGTAGCCCCAGTGCTGCTGCCACCCGCCCCGAGCGTGGCCCTGACCCAGCCCCTGTGCACCAGGAAGAGCCTGGCACAGCGGCAGACAGCCCTTGCCTGCAGTGGC